ACACTCAGTGCCTCCAAAGTCAGCTTTGGCCTAAAAGAAATCAGGCATCACATCAGGTAAGAAATTGGACAGGCAGGCCAGGAGCAGTGGCTCATGCTTGTAATCAAAGCATTTTGGGAGGCAGAGGCAGGTGGATCACTTTGGCCCAGGAGTTCAAGACCAGCCTGGGCATCATAATGAAACACAACCTCTACAAAATATTAAAGATTAGCCAGGCATGGTGATGCATGCCTGTGGTTCCAGCTATTTGGGAGGCTGAGGCAGGAGGATCGCTTGAGTTGGCGAGGTCGAGGCTGCAGTGAGTCATGATTGCTCCACTGTACTCCAGCCTGGGGAAAAGAGCGAGACTCCTAAAAAAAAAAAAAAAAAAAATTGAAAACGAAATTGGACAGCAAGCCATGCCAAACCCACCCAGAGCTCTCCACATCGCAGGCACTCAATGAAAATGATGAAATCAAGAGGCAGCTCGGAAAAAATAAGGCAGCTGGTCAGAGAGAAACCCAACCTTCTGGGCCGGTCCCCTAACCCCGGCCCGTTGGGAATATGAAGAAGTGTGAGGGCCTCATCCAGGCTCTGACTACGCTGACCCGAAATGTGCCTCAGTTTCACTGGAAAGAAAACCACGTGACCCTCCTCTCACAGGGCACTGCATCCAGCGGTCCCTGGCCATACCGTGACCCATTTGGAGGACAGGGGGCTGATAAGACCATAGCATTTATGGCCAAGATGGTGAGATGGCCCAGGAGTTTTGTACAAACAGCCTCCTCCAGGAAGCCCTCCAGGAACACTGTGGTGCTGGTTACTTGCCCTCCATGAATCCCCAAAGGCCAACCCTCCAGGGCCCATGCTTCCCCTCCAGGTCTCAGCATCCCAGCCAGACTGGAGGGTCCTCCCAGTAACTCCTCCAGAGTTACCACGGGGGCCATAAGTCCCAGGGAAATGATGCAGGGGCGTGAGTCAGGAGAGCCCCAACTGTCCCCTAACTGGCTCGGGCCCCAGGCTGGGATGTGCCTCTCTGGGAAGCTTTGTCTGCTCCGTAAGTTCAAGATGATCTCAGAGTTGTCATGAGGCTTGAAGGAGACAGGCATGGCAGCACAGGGGCCTGATGATGTCACCTCCCTCCCCAAAGGAGCCCTCACAGAGGGCAAATGGTTCAAAGGCATGCCTGGAGCACCTAGGATCTCAGAGGAGTCTCCAGGAATGACCACAGATGCAGCTGAAAAGCGGGCACACGTATGTCCCCACCCAGGTCACACGGAGCCCCTCAGCCGGTTCTCTGACCCCTCCATTTGACTTCAGGTCTCCTCTGAAGCAGGAGCTCTCCCAGCAGAGGCCTTTGAAAACACCCTGCCCGGCCTGCCGGGCTCAGACACCAGCCCTGCATCCCGGTGGCGCAGGGCGAGAGGGCAGGACCACAGACCGGAAGGCACCGGCACGTGCAAGGTTAGAAGCCAGCATCACCTGATTTTGGAGCAGGTTAGTTTGAGCTAGGAGATGAGCCTGCAGTTTGCCTTGGCACCACTGGGGGGCGGCTTTCTCAAGCAGCGAGACAGGCTGGGGTGGGGAGGTCAAGGCAAAGGAGGGTGGAGAGACCAGGGAGGTGGGGAGAGAGAAACAGAGACACACCGATTAAACGCACGTCCACACGCCCCACACTTAGGGGCCGCCCTAAGCAGATATGGGCCCTTGAGGTCGTGAGAATCAGGGGCAGCCCGAGGGGGCAAGGAGAAGGGGTGAACTCCAACTGCAGAGGCAAAGGTGAGCGTGGTTAGCAGCACAGGGGACCTGGAAAGCATGGCCCTGGAAAGCATGGCCACTCCTGTAGGAGCGGCCGCCCCAGCCCCTCGCCGCAGGATGAGTGGGGCCAGCCCTGCACCCCCGGCTCCCTCCAGCCAGGGACGGGTCACCTGGGATCTGGTGACGGAATTCCACCCGGCTCACCAGGCAGGGCAGCATTGTTCCAGGGAGAACCAAGAGGCCCACTCTCAGGCTGGCGGGTGGCCTGGATCGGGGCTGCAGGGGTGAGCCCCACCCGGGCACCCACAGAGGCCTCTCACTCACCGGCCTGGGCCCAGCACTGTCCCCACCCCGCAGCTCAGCCACCTGGGCCCAGGCAGAAGGAAGGCTCCACCCTCGGGTCTTGGACACCTGCCTTTCTCAGCCCCCTGCAGACGCCGGCCCAAACCGCCTCTAGCCCCTACCTTGGCGGTTTTGGCTTCATCCTTCTTTTTGGCGGTTTGCAGAGACTCGTAGTGGTGCCGGGCACTGTCGTAGTCCACCAGCTTGCGCCCCCGCTTGGCGATGCGTGACTGGGGCAGATGGGGGAGGGTGCTGAGTGGGGTCTGGCATCCCTCCTGAGACTCCAGAGACCCTACATGGACCCTTAGGGCGGGCAGGAGACCCCGGCTCCACAGGAGCCCTTGAGCCCCAGTTGCTGGAGCCCTTCTGGTGGCAGAGAGCTCACCCCTGCCAGCGGTCCAGCCCCACTGTGTGAAACATTTTCTTGCACATCAGCCCATGTGTCCGCGTCCACCAGCTGGTGACGTGTCAGCCAACTCTCTTCCTCAGCCTGAACCCCGGCTTCTCATCTCCAGAGCCACCAACATCAGACTCGGGGAGCTTGAGGCCACTGCACTGGGGGCCCCTGAGGCCAGAATGAGTATGACACCCCCATCCCACCGACCAAGGGGATCTCGTCAACCCACTGATCAGCCTCGGCTCCAAGTGCACATCACCGGGAGATCACTAGCCTCGGTGGAGACCAGAGACACTGCCGCCTCCTAGCACCCACCCAGGCCTGGCAGAGACAGCAGGCTGTGAATGCACACAACCACACAAAGACACCCACTCGTGCAGACCCAGACAACAAACAGGTGACATGCACACATACTCTTCCAAGCACACGTGGTGTAAACACAGGGGACCTGCAGGCACACACATCCCTCGGCCCTGCTCCCCCTTCTACACCTTCCACAATCACACAGCCAGCCACTCCGCAGACACACACACACACACACACACACACACACACACACACCGTGGACCTCCTCCCACAGCCCTGAGACCCAGAGGGACAGGAAGACCCAGATCTGGGGAATGGGGGCGGCGGGCTGGCAGCAGAGGGAGCAGCTCTGGAGGATAAAATGCTAGGTCAGGGGCTTCCTGCCTCCAGGGCAGCCCCCTCCTGGCCTGAGCCGCACGCCCTGGTCCCTGCCCTCTCTCCACGTCCCTCCAGGAAGCCAGGCACCTGCAAGTGGGCCTCTCATCTTGATGTCGGGGAATTGGCCCAGGTACGTGTCCATGGTCAGCAGCGCCTGGTCCACCAGCTTCTGGTGGTAATCCATCCACAGCAGGTCATTGTTCTGAGATGGGCAAGAACATGACAATGTCACCAGGGTGCTGGGCCACCCTCGCCCCAGTGCTCACCTCCCAGGAACGAGTCCCGGCCCCATCTCTTTACAGTTGGTGGCTTCTCGGAGCCTCAGTTTCCCTATCTGTAACATGGGGGCAACAGTTCCTGCCCTACTGGTGACTGTGAGGATCAGATACGCTGAGGACTGGGGTCAGCCAGGGAGGCTTTGTGAGTCGTGAGCCGTAACACACAAATAAGGATGACCACGACCCACCATCTGACCCACCTTGGTGTGAGGGCGTGTCAGGAGAAGAGCCCTCAGAAAGGAAGGGCAGCTTACCCCAGGGCACACAGCACGTGAACACCTGAGAACCACAGCGGCTTGTCCCAGAGGGCCCAGCCCAGTGGGACAGGAGCTGAGGCCAGAGCGCCCTCCGGGCAGGGCCAGGGCCGCCGGTTCCACACTCACCTCTGCGATCTTGTTGGCCTCAACCCTGCCGGGCCAGTCGGGCTCATACACCTCCTGCAGACACTCGTTCAGCTTCTTGGAGGCCTCGTGCATGGCTGTGGGGCAGGAAGGAAAGGTGCGGACCTCCCACTGATAGCCCTCGTACACCCTCCCAGCTCTGCACCCACCAGCTCCCCATGGGTGCACCCTGCCTGCCTCCTACCTTTGACGGAGGCCAGGTAGGTCCAGAGATCCTTCTGCAGCCAGGTGCCTTCAGTCTGCAAAGAGAAGACTGGTGGCCTACCCGGTCCCTGACCCTCTCCTTCCTGCCCCCCTCACATGAATGAACCAACCACGCTGCTCTCCTGACAGCAGCCACTGATCAGCTGATTTCCCAACAGGACAGCAGCTGGCACCTGCCCTCTTCCAGATGCCATTCTCAGCCTGGGAAGAAAGGCAGGGAGACAAGGACCACCCTGCAGGATGACAGGTTGTTCGTACGGCTGAATGACACACAGACAGCACAGCACCCGCGAGCAGCAGGACCGTCGCTCACAGACCTGCACTCAGACACCTGCGGACAAGTGACCGAGCACAGGAGTACGGCCAGGGCAGGTGTGGTGACAACCAGGCTGCCTGCGCCACAAGCTCAGGAGGTGCCCTAGGACAGAGAGCTCCCACTGCCTCCTACTAGGGAAAGGGGGCCCAGTCCGAGCCTTTACAGGGACAGAAGACCTGCGGAAGAGATGGCATTGGAGCAGATGTGCAGAATGCGGGGGTCATGGCCAGGACTCTAAGGACACTAGGGTCATAGGCTGTAGAGGGAAAACACTCAGCGGGCAGTGGGCTGGGTGGTGACACTCCCTGAGCTGGGACGGTGGTCTCCAGGGGCCTCCTGAGACAGCAGGACCAGCAGAGAGGCTAGAAGCCTGGGACAGGCCTCAAGTCTCTCTTGGACATCAAAACCAGAGCCAGGAAAGCTGAGTGAAGAACTCCAGGTTCCAGGAGGGGTGAACAACAGGTGAGGCCAGCACTGAGGTCTGAGACCACGCTCAGTGAGACGCGGAAGTTTCCAGAAGCATGTGCAAAGAGTGGGCCACACACAGGCTTTGAGGTCATGCAGACCCATCTGTCCCTTACTAGCCACGCGGCCCTAAACAAGCTAGTGAGCCTCTCTGAACCTCAGTTTCCTCATCTTTCAACGGAAGGTAAATGATCCCTGCCTGGCACTCCTCAGATCCAGTGAGCCGGGCCAGGCCCCAGAGCCTTGAAGGCAGGCTCGGGAGATGTGCCTCATGCTAAGGACAGGAACCCGAGGCAGAGAGGGGACTTGGGAAAGCCGCAGTGGCTGAGGCTGAACTTCGAAGGGAAGGGCACCCTCCTGGCCTCAGCTCCCTGCCGCCAGCTCAAGCCTCAGAGACATCCATGTTCTGGACGCCTCCTGCCCTGGAGGAGGGACAGCTGGCCCGGTCCCAGGAGACCCAGCACGCCTGCAGAGCTCCAGCCTGGCCAGCTTCATGCTTGCACAAGAGCTGGAAGGTGGCCCCATCCATTCAGGTCAATCTCCAGGCAAAGGCCAGCCGGGAGCCGGCCACCTCCACAGGCTCACCCTAGCACGACACCCTCAAACCCACTTCTGTCTGCCCACTACAGGCCTCTCCCTGTCCGCAGCCGGGGCCACTCTTCCTGCCCTGGTGCCCTGGCGGTCAGCACCTTCCATGCAGTCATCTTGACACCCGTGCCCCACCTGACAGCACAGAAACGGACAGAGGGTCAGTGACCGGCTCAGTCACACAGAGACTGTGGGAGCCCATGAGCCCCTCCAAGCATGGGCACACAGCCGCAGCGTGTTTTGTGGGTCATGGGTAGGGACGCGGCCCTGAGAACCCACAGATCTGCCTGTTATGATGAATGCTTCCGTGTGGCAGCAGAGACAGCCACAGGAAGGGCTTACGAGCAGCACATAAGATGTTATATGATTTTAAAAAGAGGAGGTGTGAGGAAAAAAACAATCTCTAAAATTCCTTTCATCCTGCATTGAGTAGGGTGTACAACACTGGCCAGTCGTCATTCTTACAGACATCCAAGTTCAAGGCCCTCCGATGCAAGACTGAGTGAAGAAAGAGACGGCCGCTCCACCGTGGACATCAGACCTCCCTGGAATTCCATCGGGGTGGGATGGAGACCCCTCGGGGCTGAGGAACGAGGAAGGGTCCGTCCCACTCCTGACACAGCCACCCTCAGTCTTCACAATTAAAGACTTTGTTGGTTGAGACGAGGATTAAAGTGTGTTCATAATGGGATGCTATTGTGTCTCCTGATGTCACAGAATCTTCCAGATCCAGCTTCTCTCCCTGCCAAGCCTCCACCATCGCACCCACACCTCCCACGCCCTCCTCACCCTTCCTCCCCAAGCAGGGTTCCCATGGGGTGGGTCGCTGTGTCCCCCATCCCCCGGCTTCAGGCTGCACCACGGCCCCTAGTGATTTCCAAACAACACTGGGCTGTGGCCGGCGTGTGGCATGCAGCGTAAGGGGCCGGCCCGAGCACGGCCTCCCTGTGCCCACTGCAGCTGGCTTCCTAAGCCAGTCGCCAGGGTACACGCAGCCCTCCCGTGCTGAGGCCCCAGCCAGCGGCCCTCTGCAGGGCAGTGCCCAGGCCAGCACAGAACACTGTGTGTTTGCTTTCAGACCGGCTCCCTCAGCCCCTAAACACGGATCTGAGAAACAATTCTCTGGGGGTCCCAGAGTTCAGAGTCCAGCTGGGGAAGGTCAGATTCAGGAGCCACTGCCCACCTCAGCCCATGTCCCAGCTATAGGACTTGGGGGAGTCAGGAAGGGACAGGCGCAGCTCCAGTGTGGCTGGGCTCAGCCGGCATCCCCACCACCCTGCTGCATCTCCTGGATATCAGTCCCCACAGGTGGCCTGAACGCCCAAGTCCCCATGTTCCCAGTGGGTCTGGGGGCAGGGACACCCATCCCACAGGGACCCCATCTAGCTCCAGCTCTGATTCCCGCCCCCTGGCCATCAAAGCCGGGAGTGACCATCACTCAACAGCCAGGGACGCCTACTTTGAGAAAACCTAGGGTGGGCCCTGAGGACAAGAAGGAATCAGGCCTGTCCCAACTCAGTGACAGGCAAATAGCAATGACAGCCCTGGGGCCTGGAGGGCTACAGATGGCCCCTAGAAAGAAAAGCCAGGCTTCCCCCAGAGACCCAGATGGCTTCTAGAAGGGCCTGTGCCGGGTGTGCAGTATTCGGGGGAAGGGCAAGGGGCCCTCATGGGCTCTTAGAGCAAGGGCAGAAGGCAGGGGTGCCACTGTGACCAGCAGCAGGTGGGCCCAGGAGGGGCTGAGCACCTGGGTCCTTGTGAGAGCACGTGACAGCAAGGTGACCTACACCCTCTCCTAGGGACCCCCCCTCCACATAGGAAGGAGTGAGAGGCTCGCTTCTTCAAAGACTACATCACCTGCCATCCTTGTCCCTCCTAGCGCTAAGCCCACTAGGTGTGGGGCTCACAGATAAAGAGGCAGGAAAAAGCTCAGCCTCCAGGCTTCCCACGCCCCATTCTCTCTCTCCTTCCCCAGGGCCCCCAAGCCCACTGCAGCCTCCTAAATCCACTCCCTTGATATCAGTGACCCTCACCCCATTCCCTCCCAGTCCCCACACCCAGCCCCACACCCTGCCACCCCCACACACCAATCAAATCCAGAACTGGCTGCCTTGGCCCCAGCCTTGAACAAGACTTTAAAATAACACCCCAGCTACCATCCCTGGCCCCTAAAAAGCCAGCCACCCCGCCAAACCCGAGCCTGAGAGCAGACAGAGGCCCAGCTTGGGACCACTCCACAGCCACAGCCTGGCAGCGGCCTGCCAGCGCTCAGCACTGACGATCTTTAGCCCTGGCCTCTCTGCCCAGACCCTCTGTCCAAGGAGCAGTGAGCGACTGCTTGCCCAGAGTCAGGGACCAAGAGGGGGTGACTCTGAGGGACAGTGGGCACAGCAACACTGCGGTTTCAGCCCTGGGGCCGGGCCACACAGAACCTCAGCTCCCAGGCCTGTGCTTCCCTCACCCTCTGCCAAAGCTCAGCCTGTTCTAAGGGACCCCCACCACCTCCACCCCTAACCTGTCCCCCCAGCCTAGCCAGCTGCCCTCAGGACAAGGGATCAGCTCCAGAGAGGAAACTCGAGAGTGGGCCAAAGGCCACAGAGACTGGATTTCAGTCCCCAACACCCACACCCGCTGTGTAGCCCTGGAAGATGTGCTTAACCTCTCTGAGCCTCAAGTGCCTCAACTGCAAAATGAGGAGAATATCAGCATCCATTTCAGGGACTGCAAAGATGTCTGTCAAACACACAGCACTTCCTGGCCCATGGCCACAGCAACTCCTTAAAGGGCCTTCAGAGTAACTGACAACCCGCTGAAGCCAGCTGAGTCGGGACACGCCCCAGGGCTTCCCAGAGACAGAGTCGGAACCTAAGACCAGGTTTCTTGTTTAAGCCTGTATTTTGCAGGTAAGGAAACTGAGGCCCACGGGGCCCTGGGAAGTTCCTATCTACAGAGGCAGTAGATAGTGCCTGTCATGGCGTCTACCTGGGCCTTGAAACTCCTCCCATAACTGGCCTAGAGGACAAGCAGCCAAGGTGGCTCCCCAATCCCTGTCCGGTGAAGCCTGTCAGGCTGCGTCCCTCTGGCAAGCCAAGGCTGATATGACCCTGGGGCCTCTGCCCTGTGCTCCCGGCCCTCCCCTAGAATGCTCCTGGCCCTCCCAGCTGCTCCCCGGACCTTTCCCAGAATGCTCCCAGCTGCTCCCTGGCCCTCACCAGCTGCTCCCAGACCCTGACCAGTGAGCAGTCAGGGTTCTCCAAAGGAGGCCCCTTCCCCAGGTTCCATGCCAGCTGCAGATGCTTTGGTGGGCGCCTTCAGTGCTTTCCAAGGCCTCAGACATGGACAAAGAGTATAGAGAGGCCTGGTCCCCTAGAGCCCAGGGGCTCACCCCACCCTTTCCCTAGCTGAGCTTAAACTCTGACCTCACACCCCATGCCCCATCCCATTCCTCTTGGCCTCCTTCTCTGGCCTCTCTCCCCACCTGTCAGTCCCTGGGGCTGGCCTGCAAAAGCCAGAGAGCCGTGGTGCGGAGGGAGATGTTCAGAGGGAGATGTTCAGAAGGCGGTGTGCAGAGGGCGGTGTACAGAGGGCGATGTGCAGAGGGCGATGTGCACAGGGTGATGTGCAGAGGGTGATGTGCAGAGGGCCATGTGCAGAGGGCGATGTGCAGAGGGTGATGTGCAGAGGGCGATGTGCAGAGGGCGATGTGCAGAGGGCCATGTGCA